CGCTCCCCGCCCACGGGCCCCGCCCACGTCTCCAAACACTGGCTGTTGGAAACGGGGGCTCCGCCCACAAAGCCCTGGGGCCTGGGCGGCGGTGACTTCAGCAGCCACCGCTCACTCGAGGGGACGGAAGGGGAGGGGACGGGAGGGCCGCGTCACGGTCCCGGGACACAGCGCCTACCTAGGCCGGGCCCATCTCCGCGGTCGTCGCCGTCACGGTCTGGACCGCGCGGAGCCTTGAGGAACCCGGGTCGGGACCCAGAGCTTCGCGGACGCAGCCACCGCCGAGCCTTTTCCTAGTGGGGACGGGGTCTCCTCCCGCTCGCGTCACCTCAGAACCCAACCAGAGCCCGCAAACTACCCAGTTGGCCCTACCAAGAGCTGACAAGATGTCCGCCGCAAGGAAGACGCCGGAAGTCCCGCCCAGTCGCCTTCCGCACGTACAGAAACGTCCGTCACGGCGCTGCCGTCGCGCGGCGCGGGGGTTCCTGGGTAATGTAGTCCGCCCCCGGGCTGTAGCCCCACGCAGACATCCTCTCGCTCCCAAGGGGCTCTGGGAAATGGTGCCCCCAGGCTCCGATTGGCGGAGGGGCTTCGCGCCTCTCAGGAGTAGACTCCAGGGATGGACAAAATAGACATTCTCTCAGATTTTCCCCAAAGCTACAGAACAAAATCAGGGTGCCACATGAAACGTCACTGAGCCCTCTCCTAGTTCCTTTTTAAGTATGTGTTGGGGGAAGTTTTAAGTCAGTTTTGTGACTCATTTGGGTCAGAGATAAGAGAATTGTCTCCAGACAGAGCTGTGGCGAGGAAGAAGGGTGAGGTTGGGGCTCAACAAAACCAGTGACTACCTGGAGCACTTTCTCCTGCTAACGTAAAGAAGGCCTTTTGGCACGACCGGGCGTGGCTCAGCGGTTGAGCTTCGACCTAGGATCCAGGTGATAGGGTTCGATTCCCGGTCAGGGCACATGCCCAGGTCTCGGGCTCAATCAATGACTCTCTCATCATTGATGTTTCTCTCTCTCTCCCTCTCCTGTCTTCTCTCTGAATAAAGATTTTTTTTAATTAAAAAAAAAGGCCTTTTGTCCCTGGCCGGGTAGCTCAGTTGGTTAGAGCGTCATCCCTATACACCAAGGTTGTGAGTTTGATCCCATCAGGGCACATTCAAGAAGCAACCATCGAATGCATAAATAAGTGGAACAACAAATTGATGTTTTTTTCTCTCTCCAAAATCAATAAATTTAAAAAAATAAAAGGATTTGGAACACTTTATCATTTTTTTGCTGGGAAGTGAGTCCACAGAGGCTCAACTAGGGACTAAGATAGGTACATTTTTCTTTAAGTGTCAGTCACTCGTGCCCCACAGTGATTGAGCAGGAGGGATGATCATCCTCTTTACATCCTCTGGTCCCAGGCCCTGAGCAGGTGAACCCATACTTCTCTGTAAGCCTTTAGTGACCACACTTTTGGGAAAGACCCCTGCAGATAGAAGCCTAGTTCCCCACAGTGTTGTCACCCACCTGGTGCAGCCCAGGAAACGCTGGCTGAAGCAGCTGCATTCTGGAATAGCACCGGGGCAAAATTTAACTCACCCAGAAAAGTTGTTACTCCTTCATGTTGACAGTCCTATTGTGCTTTCAAACTACCCACACAGTGAACAGTTTCCAATATTAAATAGGTGCTTAAACAAATGGACTTTATTATTGCACAAACCAGAGCAATGTGTGACAGGCAGTTTCTGGTTTCGTGACTTGGAAGCTGTAAAACTTCATTGTAAGAACTGAGACCAACTATGTCCATGAAAAAGCTAGTAACCCTCTGCAAGCTGCTGACCAAACTCAAGAGTTCTCTGGGCTATCACAGGATCAGGTCAATGGCCCTAATTTGTCAGAGAGAAGGGCTCAGGACATTCATGATTTCTTCCTACCAATGGAAGAGAGTTCTGCTCTGCTCTCTCCAACCCTGTGTCGACCTGCCAGCTGGTAGAGGTGAAATGGCTTCTGCCACAGAAACTGGGAGTGACTTAAACCTGGCAAGGACCCTGGGAACATTAAACATGCTTACCACATAACCAAAACTTATGGGTAATCTCCAGTCTGTCGATGTCCAGATATATATATCAATTCAGGCAGAATCCTCACAAAGACTTTCCTCCAATGCTGTTATACTAAGCAAGGAAAGAGCACATTTCCCGTGTATCTAAGGCCTTTTTTCAGTGTAAACTCTTTGGTGTAGACTGACGTCAAATTTGCAGCTAAATAATTTCCCATATTCACTGCATATGAGCTCTCCTATGTCGAAGTAGGCCAGAGCTCTGGCTAAACGATCTTCCACATTCACTGCACTTATGAGGCTTAGCTCCAGTATGAACTGTCCAGTGTCGAATGAGGTGGGTTTTCCGGCTAAAGAATTTCCCACATTTGCTACATTCATGAGGCCTTTCTCCAGTGTGAACTCTTTGGTGTTGAATGAGGATAGATTTCTGGGTAAAGGATTTCCCACAATCACTGCAATCATAAGGCCTTTCTCCAGTGTGAACTCTTTGGTGTTGAATGAGGACAGATTTTTCACTAAAACACTTCCCACATTCAATGCACTCATAAGGCCTTACTCCACTGTGAACTCTCCAGTGTCGAATGAGGTGAGTTTTACAGGTAAATGACTTCCCACACTCAGTGCACTCATAAGGCTTTTCTCTAGTGTGTGCTTGCTTGTGTCGAAGAAGACCAGAGCTTTGGCTAAAGGATTTCCCACATTCATTGCACTTATAAGGCCTTTCATTAGTGTGAACTCTCTGGTGTTTAATGAGGACGGATTTCTGGATAAAGGATTTCTTGCATTCACTGCATTCATAAGGCCTTTCTCCTGTGTGAATTCTTTGGTGTTGAACAAGGTCAGATTTCTGGCTAAAAGATCTCCCACATTCAATGCATTCATAGGGCTTTGCTCCAGTGTGAACTCTCCAATGTCGAATAAGGTGAGTTTTGCGGCTAAAAAATTTCCCACATTGACCACACTCATACTGCTTTTCTCCAGGGTGAGTTTGCTGGTGCTGAACAAGTCTGCAATTGCAGCTGAAGCCTCTACCACACGTGCTACACTCATCAAGACCTTCTCCAGTACAGGCTCTCTGGTGGGGAAGTGGGTGTGTATTGCTAAAAATTCTCCTGCTTTCAATCCACTTATCATGACTTTTTCCACCTTTAAAGGGCTCCCCACATTCAATGCTGCTGTGTGGCTTCTCACCATTGGGAGTGGCCTGATGTTGGAAAAGGCCTGAGGTAGCTAGAAAGTCCTTCTCAACCTCCCCACAGGTGAATGGCTTCCCTGACACATGGCATCTATAGCTCCTCACAAATGAGGCCCTGTCCACTGTGAAGATTTTTTCTTGATTGTCATGCTTTTGGTACTGGTGAAGGTTTTCACTGAACCAGAAGCCTTTGGTTCCCCCACCTAAGTATGGCTTTTGCCCAGAATATATTTCTTGGAGCTCAGTCAGGTGCAAAATGTCTTTCAAGCCTGGGACACACTTCTCACAGGGGCGAGTGTTCTGGGTGGATGGATCTGCCTTAGAAGTCCTGAGCTGTGACCCTCCTTCCACAGAAACACTCTGCTCAGAAGGGGCCTCCTGGTCCTCTGCTCCACACCAACGGTCTGAAAGAAGAGAAATGCTGATAAAGTTCATATTAACTTTGGTGGGAGGAGGAAGTCCCATCAAGAGTGTCTGTCATACACACACATTTGGCCCTGGGGCCTGGCTCAGCTGCTGAGCATTGACCTATGATCCAGGAGATCTCGGTTTGATTCCCAGTCAGAGAACATGCCCCGGTTGTAGGCTTGGTACCCAGTGGCGGGTGTGCAGGAGGCAGCCGGTGAATAACTCTCTCATCATTGGTGTTTCTCTCTCTCCCCCTTCCTCTCTCTGAAATCAATAAAGACATATTAAAACAAAACAAAACAGTGTGTCCTACATACATTCAAACGAAAGAATGAATGCATGAACTATTTTTCAGGACAAGGAAGCAACATGAAGAGAGAGCTGCTTTGTAGCACTGGAATTCTAAAGATGATAGAATGGGGGAGATCTTCTGGGATAAAGGGCAGAAATATGGGGTGTCACACAGGGAAGAGGGCCAGGATCAATGACTCACTTCTGTGCCAACAACCTTCTGTAGGACCTTGTCAGCTGAGGACATGTCCACACCATGCAAAAGGATGGTTGTGCTCAGGAACAGAAAAGTATACTTGGAACTGAGTAGCTGGTGTTCAAGGACTAATTAAAGATATGCACACACTTCACAATACATTATTTGTGGGTCAGTGGGGGAGAACTTCAGACTGTGCAGTGGAGAGTAACAAATGATGGATGTAGAGAGGTGGGGACAACCAGAGAGTAAAAGTCACAGATGAAAATGAGATAGTCCAGTAAGCCAGGACAAGTGTAATATGGAAACTGAGATAGATAGCTAAACAAACTGACAAGAGCAATTTACAGCAGATACAGAAGGTCACCTCCCTAGAAATAACATGTAGGCCTCAGTTGTACTTCAGCTCCAAACCCAGAAAAGCAGCAAAATCAGGTGGGTGACACTAAGCCCAGCTAGGATGACTGAGGACCCCATGCCCTGACACTGACCAATCAGTGAAGACCACAGCCCTGGAGACCACAGCACTCCTAGGAAACTGATGAAAATTCTGCTAAATCCCTCCCCTAAAATTCCCGCCTGCGAGAAAGAGATAAAGCATCAAGACAAAGGACCCAGTGTGTGCTCTCCCTCTGGGGAGCAGCCCCTGCCATTCCGTTTCCCTGCTTCTTCCCCCACAGGCATGCATCTCCTAAAACCTAAAGAACCCCATGAGGCTTGCAACCAGGGGAGCAATGGACAGCAGCAGCTCACCCCAGGCTAACCCCTGAACCTGATCCCAAGGCCCCCTTTTCTCTGAATTCCCAGAGAGCTAGGGTAGCCCAGACTAGGCTCTCTTATTGCTTCTTCTATGCTAAGCCCTTTCTTGTTTTACATCACCAGTTTTAATAAATGTTCTCTCATAGTCATCTGGACTCGTGAAATTTTTCCTGAATGAAGAACCACACACTACTGGCTGGCCCTAGGAATACCCATGAAGGGCTCTGTCCAGTAACAAAATGACAAATCAGAAGTGTCAAGTATATGGAAAAAAAGTAAAGAAATGACCTGTGTCCAGTGGCAATTATACCAAAACACTGGTGTCCAAGTGTTCTGTGAACCAGGAAGATTCCTGGTATGATCCAAACACAGACCTGAGACCATCTTGCCACAACTCAACCAGGGCTCTCTCCACACTCCCAGCTGTGTAAGGACCTGATGAAGCAAGTCCTTAGGAAAAGACAGGTCATATGAGTGGTCAAAACTCGTCTACAGCAACTCAGGAAACATTACAGGAAAAAAGGTAATATTACAATAAAATCTCAAAGGAGAGTCTTCCAAATAAAGTCTATTGACCACATAATTAGTAACTACAACAATAGTTGCAATTCCTGATACAGGTGGTCACAAGAAAATGTTACCTAGAGGAAGGGGGCAGAATCTGGGGCACAAGGTGTCATGAACCTAGACACAGTCACCCTGCCAGGGACAGGGAAAGAAAGGTGAGATCCATTAGGCTGACTGAGGAATGCATTGCTTGGGGTAGTGCACAAAGCTCAGCGCTGATACCCACAGTATATACACCAACTAAGTGGGGAAGCCAGCATAGTCCATGGACTGGCTATGAAAAGGACAGAGCTTCCTCTGGGACAAGGGTAAGAGAAACAAGATAGGGACACTGGGAGAAAGATGAAGGCCTTACCCAGGGATGTTGTAAGTGCAAAATTCTCCAGCATCACATCATGGTACAGGAACCTCTGTGCCTCATCAAGGATCCCCCACTCCTCCAGAGAGAAATAAATGGCCACATCTTCAAATGTCACACAGCCCTGCCATGATGGGGATAGTTCATTTCATGATCAGCTTCTCTCCTAGGACCAAAGTTCATCCATCCACTAAATGAACCCCTACTCACCCACCTCCCAATTCCCCCACCTCAGAGGAGATATCAGGCCCTTGGTGGTACTGATGTGCACTCTGTTCTCATGATCCCCTGGATCACTGTGTTCATCCATGACAACAGGCAGGTAAGCAGATCGGTATCTGAGTTCTGGGCCTGTAAGCAGGGGCGCACTCCCCCTTGTCAGGCAATTGTCCTAGGATCCCCAGATCATGCCTCTGTGACACAACCAAGGGTGGACATTTCACCCTATGTCCTCAATGCTGGTGCCCTCTGGCCATCAGTTCTCACTCCCTCTCCACGTGGACATAATTTTCTACCACACCTCTCTCTCACAGTCACTACCTCTTCCCTGTCCTTCCTACATGTTATTCAGCACATGGCATATAAAGAGTGACTGGCAAAATCAAACAGGATCCAACGGTCCCCACTGTCATTGGCAGCCCAGTCTGGCTCTATAGGTGTCTCTGCCTGACTCTGCTCCCTGCTTTAGCCTCAGTCACCCAGAATCACTGTGGATCTCATACACCCATGACCCTCCTCCACTGGTGCTGCATTTCACGTCTCCTCACCAGTCGCAGCCTTCCTCTCTCTTCCTAACCCTCATTCAAAACCCTCTGAGACTTTCCACCCAACGTCCAGTGATTCTCCTTCATGACCACTTGTGCCTTAAACTAATCCACCCACCCAACTGAATATCCCCAGACACATCAATGTAACGACAAAATCCTGGTGATTCCATAGAGCAGTGGGTCAGCCACCTGGATCACCTGCCCCACACAGGTACCCAAGCATGAGACCCAGTCCTCAGACTCCATTCTCCTCTTCCTGGGGTGCTGTTAATGTCATCACGACCAGGATTACCCTACTAAACATGACCCACACACAGTGTTACAAACTGAAAGTACACCTCCTCCCAAAATTCATGTTAAGACCTAACCCCCAACGTGACAGTATTTAAAGGTGGGGATTTGGGGAATTAAACAGTTTTAGATTAGATCATGAGGGTGAGACCCAAATGATGGGGGATTAGCGAGATTTAGAAGAGAAAGGTAAAGATCTCGTGCTCTCTCCACTGTGTGCACCAAGGAAAGACCATAGTTCCTCATCAGAAACACAATCTGCCAGCTGTTTGATCTTGGACTTCCCAGCCTCCAGAACTGCGAGAAATAAAGGTATTTTGTTGTAGCTGCCCAAGTTAAGATGCACAGCTTCACCCTGGTCCAATACTATGCAAGGCTTTTTGCAGATGTCTCCATCCTGCATTTCTCCCAATAGTCCCAGAACTGGGTGTCCAGCTGCTCACTTAATACCTATATTCATACATTTGTAGCCAAAACAAAACTCCCAATTAATTAAATGAAAATTAATCCTACTACCCACTTCCACATCTGTGGATGGAATTTCCATCCTTTCAGCTGCTAAACCCCACAACCTTCCAGGCATCCCTGACTTGTATATTTTTCTCTCTCCCCTTCAAAATAAAAAATCGGAGCAGATCTACTGAAAAAAACTGATCCAGAATCCAAGCATTTTTATCACCTCTAAAGCCATCACACTGGTCCACATCACTAATGCTCACCTGGACTATTGCAGTAGCCTCCTCCCTGGTCGTCCTACCACCTTCTCCACACCCCCAATCTGTTCTCCAAGCTGCAGCCACAGGGAGCCTGATGAGGGCTCGGTCAAGTCACCTCCCTCCTTTGCTCCAAATCTCCCATTGTTCCCATCACTTCCCAAACAGACACACAACGTAATCCCAGGCCTGAGTCCTGACCTCTTGCTCTCTGTTCCCTTGATAAAGAAAGAAGACTTGAGGTTCCCTTAAACCAGTGCAGCCACACACCCGAGTCTAAACAAAGTACCTGGGGCAACCTGCTTTCATACCTCATTTGATTGGTTGCTAGCAACAGGCGTCACTCCCCAGCCTGGTCTGACCCTGGGTTTAGGATTTTGTTCATGGTCCCCAGGCCAAGGGCCGGAAGAGAGAGAGATGAAGACCCCAGGACACCGCAATCCTGGGGATCGTGAGTGGGATCAGGGGCCGCGAGGTTGGGAAACACCCTCCGCTTGCTCACCTTCGCTGGGTCCGCAAGCACTGCTGCACGTGTCACAGTCTGGGTGACGAGGAGGGTGTCAAAGGGCTCCGGGCTCCCCTGCGCCCGGGCTCAGTCTGGGGCAGGGGGACCCAGGACCACGGCCTTTTCTCCGGGTCTCCGGGATCAGTGCTGACCCTTATCAGCGGAGTGACCCCGAAGCCTAAGGCCCTCTCAGCCTGTCACCCCGCTTCCAGTCTGCTCCTCTCAGCAGCTTTGGGGAAACGTTTAAAAGCCTGACCCAGGCGCGGCCTTTTCGGTCCTGAACGCTCCACCTCACATTCCGTCCCCGGGGCTTCACGCGAGGCCGGGCGCGGGCGCCCCTGGACTGCCCGGCCGCGGGCCCTCCACGTCCTCACCCGGCGGCCGCGCAGCCCGTGTCCTCTCCCACCCCCGTCACGCCGCGTGTCACCCACGAGCGCCTCACG